TATTCACTGTATTAAAATGCAAGCTCTTATGATTTATACAAGTAAGTGCAATATTACGTTATGATGTTTTATTCATATTACGTTTAATTAATATGTTTTATTCATAACACAGCTGTTAGTTGGACCCCCTGTGATATTGTCCTGGAGATTAAGAATTTACACTTTTGAAATAAAAATATGCAAATTATTGCCAAGAAAGTCGCGCATGCGCAGTGGTTGTGACACATTCGGCTAGAGTTTCACATGACTTTCACATGGAAGATACAACAATGGCAGCATCTTTTTCATATTTGCTTTGTTTTTTAAGTTTTTCTTTGGTAGGTGCGCTCAACAACGGTCTAGGTTTGACTCCACAAATGGGATGGAACTCGTGGAATCATTTCGCCTGCAATATCAATGAACAACTCATTTCAGAAACGATACAAGCGCTGTCAACTTCGCAACTGAGTAAAGTCGGCTACGAATATGTCAATATTGATGATTGCTGGGCAGAAAACAGAACGTCTGATGGCAAAATTGTTGTAGATTATAAAGCATTTCCTCATGGTATCGCCCCTCTGGCAGACTTAGCACATGCACAAGGGTTAAAGTTTGGCGTATATAGTGATGCTGGGTATAAAACTTGTGCTGGTCGCCCTGGCTCGCTCGACCATGAAGTCTCAGATGCGTATTCATATGCTAGCTGGAAAGTTGATTATCTCAAGTATGATAATTGTTTTACAGATTTGTCTAAACCTGAAAAGAGATATCCAGTCATGAGGGATGCTTTGAATAAGGTACAGTGAGGGCCTGTTTATATGAGTTGGGCTGGCCAGCCCTGGTAAACAGCCATGCTCAGATTGTTGTGCCACATATAAATAGACTATACAGAAGCCTGACATCTTGGTTTTTCCTATGATTTTGGCGTAACCGTAATTTGTCATCAAAATACTGACGCCATGGTCCTAGACAGTGCGCTTGAGAGAGGCATTTAGGGGCGACATCCATACTCACATTGCCACGCAAAACGTCATTTTGACGTTTTCGTTTTGACCCACCCACCCAGTGCTGAAAACGTCAAGTGTATATTGTTATTAAAAATAAAGGGAGACCTCAAAGGTGTTACCA